CCATGTGAGAGGACTTGGAGCAAGGAGCTCTCTGGGGAAATGAGGAAAAACGGTGATGATTTCCAGCTTTCCAGTAAGACTAAGAGTGAGGTAAGAGGTCAGAGAAGAACGGTTGTGGAATAGGGAAAAGGGGAAATAAGCTGTGGAAAGGAAGAACATTGAGGGAAGAGCAAGGGCATTTTTCTGCCAGAGACCACGCACACTTTCAGAATTTCTGTAGAACCCAGAAGTCATGCATCTAACTTTTCTATTTCTGTCAGCAAATGTCTATGTAATATTTCTGGGCAAAAAAAATACATCTTGTTGTTGTATAGTTACGCCTATCCAGTTTCTTGCAAATTATGCAGTGTGACAATGAATATTGCATGAGCTTCAGTGTCAGAGAACACAGAGTAAGAAAGAAGCTAACCTGAATAATGACCATCAGATCTTATCTTTGTTTAGTTCAATAAAAACAGGAACTTTCCCCTTCAGTTATATAGAAGGAGCATTCTAATGGATGTAGGAAGCCAAGCACTTGTTAAAGAATACATAAATTTCTCTAATTTTATTTCACCTGGACCTGGGTATCCAACAGCCTAAATCACCAGGTTATTGTGTTGCTTAAGAGATTTAATTCTCTTCAGACTTCATTAATGTTTTTGAATGGAGGAGAGATTTGGATGTAATTTGCTATCTTTCCAATGAAAAAGTCAATCAAATGTAATTTGATTATTTTGGAGGCTTTTACTGCTTTAGGACTATTTCCCATATCAATACACTGCAATCACTTAGATTCAGAACCTGAGAAGCATTTGCAAATGACAGTATCATAGGAACCAAAAGATTTCCAGAAAATGTCAGGTTTAATAAACCAGTGGTTTTTGATGCTATTTCACTTAAAAATGCTGTTAACGAAACTGCCTTTAGTTAGATAATTGCATATCTGCCTCACTGCACAGAATGGACTGCCATCAAAATCAGCGTTGTGTAGTGAAGATTATTCTGATATTATTTAGAAAATGAAATTGTAACTATTACATGTGACAATACAGTTATTTTTTGTGGGCAATATTTAGGTTAGATGCAGGGTTGATTACTGTTGTGTGTGCACCCACAGAATTTTATTTCTCCCTGTAAAAATCTCAATCTTTACAAGTCCTACAGTTAAGTTAGTATTAGGAGACATGTAGTGCAGTTGGCTTGTTAAAAGTGTAGGTGCACAGTGAAATCACTAGATTTATTTATATCAAAATCTTTTCCCTCTGCCTGTTTTGCTTCTCTTACATGCAAAACTCTTCCTCATTTCATAAGAGATATACGCCTATGTGTTATGGACAAGTCACGTTTGTCTATTACTAAAAAACCCACATGACTGAAATCACAAGTAGGTCTGTTGCAATTTCATGGCTATTGCAGTGGATTTCCCAACAGAAATTAGCAGCAGACATTGTTCTGGAGTGCTTTGTTTCCTGTAGCCATCCTTACAGGAGATTACAATATCTGTCTGTCCTAAATAAATGTTGGATTTAAACTGTGATTTCATATATATGAGAATATCATCATGCAGATTAGGTTAACATTCGACTTTTTACTCTAAATGTTTATGTGGAAGTAGTTTTCTTTTTTATTTTTTTTTATCCAAAACTATAGCATATAATATTTGGGGATGGAAAGTGAGGTAAGGGAGATCTTGAACTGGAATTTTGTGAAGACCAAATGTGTTCGACCTTCAAACAGCAACTTGGTTTTTGTCTTTTTTCCCAGTTAGCATTGCTTATTACTGATGAACTTCTGTAATATTTTTTTTTAATTGACCACTATTCATTTTTTTTACTGTAGAAATGAGCCCAGTGCACCTACAAAGTACAGTGTTGTTTGAATGTGTATACATCATGGCATTAGCAAATAGTAGCTGTGATAGAAAACATGAGTATGGGAAGGCAGATGTAAGACTTTGCAGTGTGTTTGTATTAACCCCCTGTATAAAATAATTTATTAGGATGAGTATGTCCAGAGTTAAACTGGTTTTCATTCCTAGATTTAAAGACTGTCTTCTTTATGACATCTATCTCTAAGTTCCTAAATTTATCTTAAAATTACTGATTAAAAAAAAAAAGTAAAGTCTATTGGCACATTCAAGCCTTTTTAAACAACCTTTAAGTAAAGAAAAAAGTTGTAAGCCACTAATGATGATGATATGCCTTCACCTGGATTTTTTTATGGTGTGTTCTGCATAAACATACGTGGGCCAAGAGACAGGGAGAGATTTTTGCGGGATATAGAGATTGATGAACTTGCAGTCTTGTAGAAATGCTAATGTCTTAACATTTGTTTTTAAATACAGTTTTCAGCAGGACTTCTTAAATTCTTTTTTGTGTCTTGTGGTAACAAGTCAGCTCAGAGAAAACTAAGTCTGCTGAAGATGTAAAGGCAGCTTTTTCAAAACATCAGTAAAGCCCATTACCATTAAATGCTATGCTCACAGTATGACTTTGGTTCCTTCGTGATTATTGAGGGAGCGTGTTAAAAAAGATGCTAAAATGGGCAGCAAAGAAAAATATATCCATACAGGTGGCATGGATACTATTAGAAGTAAAAAAGCATCAAACAAATAGCTGAAGTAATGTCCAAATGAAAAAGGTAGAAAAGATGACAAATTTTGGTAGGTTAAATGTCAAAACACAGTAAGGATGACAAAACAAAATTTAAGAAAACTAGCAACATATTCCTCAAACACATGAGGAGAAGACAGCCTGGCAGAGTCTATAGGGCCACTTGATGCTTAGAGTATAAAGAGAGCATGTAAGAAGATAAGAAATAGGAGAAAGGCAGACAATAAAGCACTAGGAGAGAAGGCAGATTAGTTTGTGTGTGTTCACTGTGAAAGAAACTACAGAGGTACCCAAGCAACACCCTTTTTTTCTGGATAATCTGTCTGAAATGGAAGTGCCAGTCAAAGAGGTTATGGGACAATTAGGTAATTGAAGTGTTATCAAGCATCAAGAACCAACTCCATTTCACCCAGGCTCTACAGGCTTGCTCTATTCTTGTATCTTCCCTAGGTGTTAAATAGTTGGCTTGAGATTTAGTTGAAGGTTTCAAGGTTATTTTATCTCAATGTGTTCATCCATGCTTAAGTTAAATGTATGGTCTGGTGCATCCTTTCTTTTATGTTTTGCCTCTGTTACAAGTTACAGATGCAAGAAGTCTGGGCTCAGACTTAACAGTTTTATCTTGTTTATTTGCCTCTTTTGGTGTAACTATCTGTGTCCAAGGTTTGTCATGTTCTTTGTTGCTGTTCTCCTGGGAATATGGGAAAGTTTCTTCTATCAAACAAAAACCAAATCAGAAATAGCTCTCCATATTCTCTTATCATTATGTTCTGTCAGTGGATTTTCAGTCATTGCCATCATGACTAGATCCCTGAATATTTGCAAATATTTTTGTCTTCATTTTATACTATCAAAACATTCTATCAAAAAATTTCTTCTTTCTGTTTTTTTGTCACATTTGATCTACATCTTTTTATCATTGACATTTCTGACCCACATACACCATATGTATAATGAATTCATATTTTATTTGATCTCTTAAATGTTATTTGGTCTTCCGTATTTGTGGAATGATTTGGTTTTTTTGAAGCAGCATTAACAACAAGGCCCAGTTGGATGATGCTTTGAGCAACCTGCTGTAGTAGGTGTCCCTGCCCATGGCAGGGGGGTTGGAACTAGATGATGTTTAAGGTCCCTTCCAACCCAAACCATTCTATGATTCTGTTCTGTGATTCTAACTGTGGATTTCTATGTGCTTTGCTTAATAATCTACAGAATCTTGTCTTTTTAGAAGCCCTAACCAAAAATAATGCTAACTTGGCTGATTAGTAATTTTTTCATTCTTTCTAACAAATTACGTATAACTTAATGTGACACAGTTCTTAAAAAAAAAAAAAAAAAATCAAAACTCCCCCTATATCTTCCATAAATAAACATTTATGTAATCATATTCTCCAAGAGACTGCATTTGATTCTGAAATATCCATTTTCTATACCTTAATGATATAGCCACTGGAACTTGTGGAACGATGTTATAAAAGAATGGTAGATTCTGACAGTCATGTCTGTATATTTTTTTATTTATTTTATATATATAACTAATAAATTATTGCTTAAAAAAAATCTTGAAATAATTTTCCTAATGTTTTCCATTAAAAGCCTGTTACAATTACAGGACTCAAAAATACCATTTTGTGATTTAATGAGCATTTTTTTTAAAGTGCAGAAGAGAAAACCTGATGTTTCTTCATTTTAACATAATAACTATTTGTCAATTTACATTTGCTCATACACGACACCCTTCCGCTCCTTTCTTTCCTTTATTTTGCATTATACACATTTTCTAAAATATCTTTGTTCTTTTAAATGGAGAACTGAAGAATGCAGCTTGAATATGTTTTTCAAATCTTTTTCACTGCAGTAATTTGTGTTTCAGAGATTTCCTCCTTTTACCAATGTCATAGTGTCTCAGTAATACCTGATATTTAACTTAATTCCTATTATAACTAGAGGAAGGGTTTTGTTATTATTGGTATACTTGCTGAGATTCAGGAAATAAGGGATTTGATTTCTGGCTCCAGCATCGATTCCCTAAAAGATCTTGCAGAAGGCTTGTTACTGCTCTGTGTGCTCGCTGTGTAATGTGAGGACTGTGAAGTCTGTTTTCACCGCCTCCTCACCCGCTTTGAGTGCTTTGGCTGCAGTGCCTTTAGAGGGCAGGGCTTGTTTTACTGAATACATTGCATATGATGATGGTTTGGTAGTTTCTGTGGGACTGCTGTTTTACCCAACTGTTTTAAAACAAATCCCCCACCTTGTACTCTGCCTGCCCATGCCCCTTTCCTAGACTTCCTTCTAGAATATCAGTGACTTATTAGAAACATTTTATTTCCTTTTCATACTGCAAAGCCTGTTTAGCAATGTTATGTACAGAGAATGAGTAAAATGTCTCTTACTTCTTTTCAGCTGCTGTATGTGACTTTGAAAGAGAGAGCTGTGGCTGGATTGAAACTGCAAATGCAGATGACTTTGACTGGGTAAGAAGTTCCAGTAGTGCTCTTGCACCAGCTTTTCAGAAGCAAGCTCCTCTGCAGGATCACACCTGCAACAAATCTGAAGGTAAGACAAGCCAGGCCTAGAAACAGAGAAGTAGAATAGATACACCTGCTTTTTAATTAGATTTTAAGTGGAGGCCATGAATGCTTTAAAAACCCTTAGAAACACTTTCTTTCTTCAACCTGAAAAGTTGTTTTCTGTTTTATTTTGATAGGTCATTTCATGTTCATTCTGAAAAACAGCAGCAGCATTTCACAAGTAGCTCAGCTACGAAGCCCAAAGTTCAGGCAAACTGGATCAAATTGCACATTGTCCTTTTGGTATGAAATAATTTAGATTTCAAATTCACTGATCATCTCACATGATTCTCTTGGACTGAGCTTGAGGTTATAGTTTAAAATAGGCACACCTTCCTCTGCAGTATTTATTTCTTTTTATTCTTTAATCATATAGTCTTTGCTGTGAACAATATGCAGAAATAAGCTGAAGCACTTGGAGAACAGAACTGAAACATGGGAAGACTTTGTTGTCACGCTTTGAGCAAAATTATATTAAAGGATTGCGTCTGCATACATATAGACAAATACCACAATCATTTTGCTAACATTTCTACTTTGGTTAAGTACATTTGAAAATGTGGAATTTTGTTCAAGAACAGGAAACCATCCAAAAATCTAGTAGCTCCCTGAGTCACCTAGAGTATCCAAAGTTAGATTGCAGTACAAGAATTGGAGCTTTGCTTCCAATCCTTTCTTTATGTATACGGAAAACAAAAACCCCTTTCAGTTATTATCTTGTCTCAGTCTTTGTGCAATCTTGTGAAAGAGGGACAGAAAAAGTAAACTGTGATAATTTGTTTACTAAGGTCAAAAGTAGTGCTACTGTTTAAATAAATGTTTGGCCTGGCTTATTATTAAGTGCAGTTTTTCTCAGTAATGTCAAATACATTTACCACAGGAAGAGGAAAAATCTTTTTATCAAAGACTCAAGACTTGACGGTGGAGTGTAGTTCTGGAAATTACAAGTTATTGGTCCTGTTCCTGGTTCTGTTCCCAGTTTTGTTATATGATTTCTCACCTAAGAATTTATGATTTTTAAATACTTTGAGATTCTCCAATAATGCTGTAAAATGCAACATGTTAACAATAACTAGCACAGATAGGTGTACTTTTGCGTTCAGTAAGTGTTCTGTTTTTCTTTCTTGAAACTTTACAATTATGTATTAAATTAAATTTATGAAAAACATATTATGTATCTTGAGTGAGCAGTGTTTATTGCTTAATATGAAAGCAAATGTGTCTCTTCAGTTATGGAGTTTAATTTAATGAAGTATGCTTCTTCTTTCATAATCTTCGATTCTTGAAATAAGCTCTAGACTGATACAGCAGCCTACCTACCACCATACAGAAAGTGGACTGAATTACAGATAAACTGGAAATAAGCACTGTGGACTTCCTATATTTCATGTAGCTCTGACAGGAAAGATACTGGCCATTATATGTGATGTGGTCCATACTCATTTTTTGCATCCTTAACTTCTTTTTTTCATCATTTTAGGTATTACAATTATGGACGGTCAGTTGGGGCAGCAGAGATGCACTTGCTTGTGGATGGGCTGAAACAACCTACTGTCCTTTGGAGGGCATATTACAACGAGGGAAATCAATGGCTGAAGGCAGTCATTCAGCTTGGACGCCTTCCACGTCCTTTCCAATTATCACTTGATAAAATCAGTCTGGGTTTTTATGACGGCGTCTCAGCAATTGATGATATTACATTTGAAAATTGTGCTCTTCCACTTCCAGCATTAAGTTGTGAAGGTGCTAATCGTTTCTGGTGTAGAGACACAAAAGCATGTATCGACAGTTTATTGGTCTGTGATCTTGTGGATAACTGTGGGGATGGATCAGATGAAGACAACTGTAGTAAGTACTTTCCATTATTGCTTACTTTATATCAACCCAAAATTTACTTGCCAAATTCATCCCTGGAGTAAAACGCACAGTATTGTTACAGCCTATCAATGTCACAGCCAGTGACGATTCAACTGAATATAGTTACTGGTGAAACAAACTGAAAATTTTTAACTTAAATGCATATGGTGACTTACAACTGCGGGTAAATAGATTTCAATCTCCTTTATCCAAATGAGTTGTAGTTCTTTAACTTTTGTAAAACACACACATGCATTACAAGTTTACTTTAAAAGAGGGGATTCACAATCTGCCAGTTCATTTGGATTAACATGCTGTCTTTGGTTATACTGATGGAAGTACAGTGGAAGACGTATATGGACTGGGAGGAATGTATAACCTATCTCTTTTTATGACCTATATTCTATCTAAAGAACATTAAAGTATCTGTACTAGAAGATATTAGTCATCCTGGGCATAATTGTCCCTTTCAAAGAACAAACTTGTAAGTACTGAGGAAAGCTGTGGGTCATTCACATTTTTGACATTCACCTTGCAGTGCTGAAAGGTGCTGTTGCTTTTCTTCCCAAAGCATGCATTCATCCATTTTAAGAACTCAAGAACATTAATATAAAATAAAATTAAATAGCAGTTCCTTTATCACATCCTGAGGTAACTAAATTATGCAAATCACAATGAGTTTGAGAAACAGGGGACACCTTACATGCTTGAGGGGATACCAGCCTGTACTGATATTTGCTGAATATCAACTTAAAACTGATCCGAATTTAAAAGAAAGTGAAGGCTTTCCAGCCTACTTCAGTTTTCCCGCTTGTAAAATGTCTATCTTGTTTATAACCCATTTTGAGATCTATAGTAAGAGTACCATATGACTTGCAGTTTTAAACATCATAAAAAATAACAGCTTAATTAAAAAAAAAAAGGGCTATTATGTCAGTTACTGTTTATGAAGGGCAGATGCAAAGATGATACGGAAGTTCTCCACCTTTGATACACATTTTATTTTTTTATGATAGAAGTAATTGGTCTAATCAATATATTTTGCCTTGGTGTCAAATAATAAAGTGCAGCTGTGTTATAAATGCCTCTCTTGATAGCTTTATCAAAGCTAAATTCATGTTACTATTATTGTGGATAAAAAAGATCTAAAACACAACCCATTTTTAGGGCTACTTCTGCCATGCAAAAACATATTAAGTAACTTATTGCACATACCGACGAGACTATATCCTGTGGTTTATTCCATCCAATCAACCTCAGTTTTAACTCCTTCACTCAGTTAAATTTCGGTTAAAGAACTTTGCATGCTTTAATTATAAAAATACATACATTTAATAATATGAATAATAAAATGTTATTCACAGTTCTGTTTATGCAATAAATTAATTATGTACAGCTTGTCAGATATATATCAAAAGAGGAGGTGATTAAGTAAAGATTTATTTTTCTTTTTTTGTCCAGGCAAGGGTATATTTATTCTTCAGAAGGGAATTTTTGCAAGGAGAAGAAGATATGCATTTTTTCTCTATATTAGAAATTTTTGCAAGGAGGCAAAAATATTAAAGCACGATCACCTTTCAATACTGCTTTCACTTGACAGTCTGTTCTGTTTACATTTCAGACCCTGACCTACAGTGTGACTTTGAAAATGGGCTGTGCAATTGGGAGCAGGATGTTGAGGATGACTTTGATTGGATCAGAATACAGGGTCCAACCCCCACGGTTAATACAGGCCCATTAAAGGATCACACCACAGGCACAGCCAGGGGACACTACCTCTACATGGAATCCTCCGAGCCACGCCAGTTCCAAGATAAAGCCCTTTTGCTTAGTCCTCTCTTCAACCCTTCTGGCAATGGAACCTGCATTTTCCACTTTCATTATCATATGTTTGGAAAGGAAGTTTACAAGCTGTCAGTCTTCCAGAGGACTGTGAGTAATACCAAGGGATGGCTATTGTGGTACAAGTTTGGAAATCAAGGAAACCGATGGATCAGACAGACACTCTACATCAGCAGCTCTAAGCCGTTTCAGGTATGATCCTTCTAGGTTGCGAAGTGCTTATTTGCTGCATCGTAACACACTGCAAGTATAAAAATGACTGTGCAATCCCAAAGGTATTTGTAACTGTCTGATCAAATTTACTTTGAAATACATTTGTAGGGTTTTTTTTGACAAAATATGTCTGAAATATTTATTTTTTGTTGAATTTACTTCCCCCCCTAAACCACTAAATTTTAATGTTTTGAACAGGAACCTGTGGCATTTAAAGTAGATGCTATTTTTGTTTTTCAAGTATTTGGTGAAACAAACTTATCTGAATCTGCTACAGAACAGCTTGGCAAAAATTCTGATTCATTCTGAAAAAAAGGACTGTTAAAAAGATTATCCTCTTCTCTGCCTTACTTTTCCAGAGTTATGTGTTATTCTTTAATTATATAATGCCAGAAAAAATATCAGTTCAAAATATTTGGGTGCAAGGCTAGGTCAACAATCAAATATCGTTTGGAGAAAGATATGAGTACAGTAAGTTACAGCTACAAATCTTGATTTATTTTTCCACCTTTTAACAATTGTATATGTTATTTACTTTTCAGTATGTGTGATCTGTTTATTGTGGTCGGGTTAATGAACCTGCAGGTTTATTAGAGGAGACATTAGTTCCCTTGACTGCCAACTGGTCATAAAATTAACTTAAACCCCAAAACATATTATAAAAAGGAACACCTTCCATTTAAATCTGGTATAATGCAATATTTCCTTTAGATTGTCCCACATGTATTTCCCAAAAGATTATTTGTAGGTAGAGAGAAGTTCTAACCTCTTTGGAGGAAAAGGCCTTAATATTACTGTGGTTGCACAGAGGCACCTGGAAGGAGAGTGCTCATTTTTTGTCAAGACACTTTGTAGAAACATAAAGGAGTATCAACAGAATGCTAACAAGGCTTTTTTTTTTTTTTTTTTAGGTAAGAAAACATATCCTGTGTCTGGTAGTTTGTCTAAAGAACTATAAACATACATGTCCTATATTTGACCTCCTGAGGGTTAGGAAGGTCTGTTCAGTAACTGAAAATATTTTTAATGCATTAGTGTTGTAGGGTTTTCTATCGTAATCGCCAAGTTCTGTGCAGGGAATGCAAGGATCTTATATTCTTTCAATGTAGTTTTGTTTTCTATAGTCATTTTTGAGGGGCATGAGGTGTTAAGGTATAATTTGGTAGTCTGTTCTGATGAAAGAGATGAAGATCTGATGTTCATTGTTGTGTATTGCATTTCTTATGATGGAGCTTGCTGTATCACAACCTATGACCCTTCAAAACTCAGAAATTTTGAAGAGATCAAGTTGTTATTCTGTTGCTAGTAAGTTGCCAGGTGCTGACCTCTCTCCAATTGTCCTTTTAAGTGCATAGTGTTTGGATACTTCCAGGGCTAAAGACCTGTGAGTTGAAAGGTCTTTACACTCTGTTACCATTTTTTCTCTGAAGTATTTCTACTGAAATGTGTACTAGAACAGCCTCTCAGTTAGTTTTGGGCTGCCTACTGGCTGGGTAACAGTATTAAAGTTGCAGCCTCTATGTTTACTATGTTGTGTTCCTCACAGCCTATAAAGTCAGTGGTTCAGTGTTTTCACACCACATGCTTAAAGTCTTGTAGGTCACCTCCATGCTTCAAATGATATGTTTAGATTCACTTGAGAATGGATTTTTTTTTTTTTCTTCAATGTCTAAAAATAAGAAAGAACTTTTTAATGATTTTCTGGTCAAAATACATGCCTTGACTTCCTAATCTTCTCCATGTCTAGCCAGAGCATCTTGTCAGCTGTTTTAGGATTTTCAGAGATTCCTGTTGAATGAAAAACGTTAGACTCTAGGACCAAAGATGGCTTAAGTCTTTGTAACGTAGACCTTTGTTTTGCCTTTTCTCTTCTAAATAAGAGATGATCATACATCTGTGATAGCTGATACCACCTCTTCCTCTTTCATCCCTTTGTAAGTCTGTCATTTGTTTACCACATTCCAAGAAAGAATTACTATGAATAGTAAATCCCTCAAATTCACATTTTCAGTTTATTTACTAGCATGGGATGCCAACTTTGGGAGCATAGAAACAACTGTGCCTATATACTAACTGTTAGGAAAAGAAGGAGTTCTCAGCAGCAAAGAAAGATACTTGACTACTGCCGGAAAGCCAGATCCCCTTTTGAAAGTTTGGAACTCTATAGACTTGAAACTGTAGGGCCTTCAAATTGAATGCTCTGGCAGAAACCCAAAGGGAACAGCACATGAAGTCTTCCTTTACTCACACCAGTTCCCACTAAACCTCAGAATCTCAAATTTCTCAGGAAACCTTTGTTCTAGCTGCCATCAAACCATGGCTGAAGTTTGTTGCTGTTCCGTCAGATAGTTTTAGATCAGAGTGTTCAATGTGACATCAGCGAGCAGAACAGGACTATCTGGATGAGTGAAAAGGGAAATTTAGAGGTAAATTATTTAAATGAAAGGAATGCAGTTTTCTGAGCCAAAATTAAGCATCTGTCTCAAATACTAATACTGACAAATAACAAAACTGGTCCAAAATATACATGCTTATAAAACTCAGTTTTGCAGCTTTAGTAATCTAGAGTTACCCTTTGAATTCAGAACTGGTATGACACAGAAATCTGCAAAGGATTTAATAAACTGTGGGAAATTATACTTTTTTTTTTTTTTTGTAAAAATTTCAATTTAAAAATATATTCCTTTTCAAGATATTCCTTTTTTACTATATGGGATGCTTGTTTCAACATGAAAAAGAATAGGCTGTTGAGTGTACTTGTCTCCTTACTTGATCTATGTTTATTTTAATCTCCCCGAGAAGTTTACTTAGATGTCTTTTCCTTAAAAGTACACTTGAAAAGTTAGTAAAATAAGACTCTGTCCATGGTAGGCTACTTATATTGATGGTGAATAGTGTTTGCTTTTATCTACCTTGAATAATCATAATACCTGAAATAGTTTCTGCTCAGAAGAAAGTGCAAAGATTCTATTTTAATATCTTAGGTAAATGTAGCTGTCTCAGCTTGCTCTATTCATTCAAATCTCTGTAGATACAGAAAAAGGAAATGGTGATGTTATGTGAACAATCACAAAATTCTGTATCTCAATCATTTTGGGCAGTGTAGTATCCTTTTAGTCATGATATAAATCACATATCTACCATGTCCATCATAAGACATCTAGGGATACTTTACTATATTGTGAAACATATTATGAAAAAAAGAAAAAATAATTACCTTTACCCCAATCCGATTCACTTTTTGCTCATCTGCAATGTGTATATTTGATCTCTGTGAACAAAGGTGGTTATAGATCTTTGATACTCCAAAGCATAAGTAATACATAAAGGACTCTAATATTCTGTGATGATTTTATAATGATCAGTCTAGGTTTTTTAAGTTGGCTGTTATTAAACTTAAAAATGCAAATATGTTGTTTAAGTACAGGATTGATTATTAATGCTATATTGAGTATAATTACTAAAAATCTTAGTATTTTGAGTATCATATATAAAACCTTACATCTCCCTTCAAATATAAAACTTTATCCCTTCAAGTGTGAAAAACAAGGACCAAAATCAGAAGGAAATAATAATGAAAAATTATTGAAAAATAATTATGCAAGTTTATATGCAAAATAAATTTGCAATTAAGTAGATATAAAACGCATTTGATATTTTCCTATTTTACAAGTTCTTAAGAAAAGTAAACAACCAAATCCACTGTAATAATTTTACTCTTATTATCAATTAGGTATTATCTTAGAAAGTAATGGAATATTGATTGAAAATTAGAATGGTACATTTGCTATGAATATAGAATAGCACTATGATCTACAAAGACAAACACAAGCCAGCCTTCTTTCTCCAACTACTATTTTTAGTACCTGTTGTGCTATTTTTATGTTCTTCTCAGTGTAGAATCCAAACTGTTGTATTTTAAGGGCCTGATTCTAAAACATCTATGCTGAGTATATTGATAATGGTGCAAATTAGATTTCTCAAGCTCCTGAGCAGCATTTTAAACTAGATATAATGGTTTGGAATATGACCAAACATGGGAAGACAGATGGCTGAAGCACAGTGGATCCCTTTCCTTTTTTTTTGTACATTGCTATTTGTACCTTTGACACTCTAACATGCTGTTTTCAGGTATAGTGGTTGCACCATTCATTGCTCATGATTTAAAACAAGACAAATTTGTATATTCAAAGTTTTGTCAGTTTGGGGAAAAAATGCTTTCTGGCCTGAAAAGGACCTCTGTTTTGTTAAAGCAAAATATGGCTTGTGTCTTTGCATACTTCTGATGTTCTGAATACCCCCATCTCTTATTCAGGCTGAGCTATCACAGTACAGGCTGACCAGTCTTATTTTAGATGTTCTCACATAAAGGACTTTGATGTTAGAGCATTTTACTGTGGGTTGTAAATGCATCAAAAAGAACTAACTTAGTTGTCTTGTAAAATCATTTTGTCTCATTTGGTGTTACATAGCATGATGTGAGTTGTCTCTTGCAGCATCTGCGAGGTAGCAATGTTCAATATGACTGTAGTGACAGCTTTTGTTGTTATTATTGTTGTAAATCCTAGAACCCCTAGGGATTCCCACATGCCATCTCCCTTTTAAGTTCCTCAGCTCATAGGATCTGATGTTGTAGCTGCCTCGTGCTGAACTGGGAGGCACTCCCTGTTACAATCGCTGAGCATCATTTCTAGATCAGACAGCAGGAAACATCTCTGAGAATCATTAGGGTCACCTTTACTCTTGCAGACATGAAGCAATGAAAGCCAGCCTTCAGGAAGGCTTTGTTTTACTTTGCTACAACAGGATTTACACTGAGTGAAGCATTACAAGTGTCACCAATCCCAACTTAGACAGCCACCTTGGAAGTTTTACCCCTAAGAGCTGTTAGTTGTCAGTTGAAGAGGAAGCCTTGGGTCACTTCCAAAGAAATCCTTGATGAAATTAATGTATGTCACAATACTTTGGATGAAAGAGAA